ACATGGTGAGGATGTTTACAAAGTTAGGGCCCTAACTTAAATGTTTAAACTTCTCAAGTTGATACAATATATCAATCATGAGAGCCACCATGGCCAGCTTTAAATCAATTCTTTCAGAATTACAAAATGATAGAGTGTTTATATTAATAAATGTATGCACTCATTAAGCAGTTAATTCATCAGAAAGGCAAAGGGTGAATTTTCATGATAATAACTACTTTTTTCGGATGAATCTGATGCAAGGGCTGTACAGGGGCTCCTAACTGACCCAGTCGCACTTGATCTTCCACAGTGAGGCTCCTAGGATTCTGGAATGAACAGGTCCTTTTTCTTTCCATCAGCAGTCCCATTTCCAACTCTGAGAATCAGAACACACCTCTTTACACTTTGCAAATAGAAAAATTTGCATTGTCCAGAGACAAAGGAGGCTGGGGCAGGAAGACTCTCCCCCATGGGTAACTCTTAGCTCTGTTTTTACAGTAAACACATCTATTTAGCAGTACAGATGGGAGGGAAGATGGAATCCCAAAGAGATCAAAGCTTATTAAACAATCTGACATTAATAATAACATTCTTTTGAAAAAGTTTTAAGCCAGTATATCCTGTTTGTTTCCTGTCTCCCTTCTATAAAGAAATCTCATCAGAAAAAGGCCTGATGACTTTAACTGGACTATGAGCTTACCTGAGGCCAAGGACACAGGCTAAATATTTTTGGATCTTCAAAGCCAAGTGCACGTTTGCAGAATTAAAAGTGAATGTTAAACTGAGCAATAGCAACCATAATTCTACAGGACTTGGTGATACTTGAGTTCACTTATTGGTTTCTCTTTGTATTTCCAGGGCCTGTCAAAAACAACAACAGAAAAAACCACCAGAGAAAAAGCCAGATGTGGTAGCACATACATAATATACAGGGAGAGGGAAAACCAGCAGAGACAACTAGGCTTGTGTAAAGGCACATGGTGTGGAATTTATTGTGTCTGGGTGCAGGCAGGCAGAGAGCTTGATAAAGCTGTCTCCCCCGAACAAAGAGCAGTAAGTTCCTTTTACAGAGATGGAGAGAATGCAGGGGACATTAGGCGACAGGATCCCAATAAACATCTGTGGTCAAAATTCTCTGGCAGTCTTGCATCTCAATGGGCAGAGTCCTTGAAGTGTCCTGTATAAATTCTTGGGTGTCTCCAGATGTCTCCAGAAGTCCCAGGACCTGCAAAATTCCTTGTCCTATCTTATCTCCTGCTGCCTTCCTGGCCTGGCTAATGACAGCTTTGGTGCTGAGCTGAGTTCCCTGCAGAGAGCAGTGTCTCTGCTGGCAGGCAGGTTGGGGGCTGGGAGGGTCAAGCCAGATTCCGACCTCACAGCACACACCTGGAATCCCAGCACTTGGGACACTGAGGCTGGAGGATCACTTAGGACTCAAGACCAGCCTGGGCTACACAGTGAGCTCAAGGACAGTCTGAACTGCATAGTGAGGCTCTGTCTCAAATAAATAAATAATATATAAATAACTAACTAGTGAGGGAGACAAAATGTATAAAACCATCAGCACTTAAAGTGACATCAAAGTGTCATTACCCGGTCACTTGCCCATTTGTTTGTTGTGTAGGACCCTAGGACCTGCAGTAGACCCAGAGGACATTCCCGCCATTTAATGTACTAGTGTAGAGCTGGCCTTCCAAATGACTTAGGTTTTTATAGAATCTTAAAACATAATAGAAGATTGCCCAGTATGGCATTGTTTACCCCACCTGAAGCAGACTTTCTGTGCTAGGACATCTCCATGCCACGCACAGATGTTTTGAGGTAGGGGTGGAAGGCTGCAGTCCTTTAATTTCTTGGTGGCGTCTGTGATGGCACATTAGTCACCTTGTAGATGTGGATGTTTTACTTTCACAGTGGCTGCCTGGGTGTGGAGTGAGGCATCTCATCCAGGTGTGGCCCAGAGCCCTGGGCCTCCTAGTGTGAGGAGCTTGAAGAGACAGGTGTGTGCCCTGCCCTTGGAGCAATCTTTACTGACCTGTGAAAGCTTGAGGGATACTGGTGACCCCTAACTGCAGATGTAGAAAACACTTGTGAGTTTGTTCTAATAAAACATGGAAGCCAGCCAGGGGTGGCCCATAATCCTAGCACTAGGGGAGGCTGAAGCAGGAGGATTGCTGCAGGCTTGAGGCCAGCCTGGGCTACATAGCAAGATCATGTCTCTAAATAAATAAATAGATAAATAAGATATGGAGGCCAGAACTGGTAAGAACAGTCTTACTTTTTACACAAAAACCGTAATAAGAGTTCTAACTGGGGAAGCAGGGGACACTATAAGCACACAAGAGAGGCGTGACTTTCCCCAAGAAATGATCTCTGAACTAAGACTGAAAATGACTGGCCTGACTTGTTTCCCACCCATCTACTACCACGATGCCTCGCGCCTCCCTCATTCCCACAATCAGGAGAAACGCAGACCTCCACAGTGCATCCTTCTCAGTCTCATCCTGTTCCACATCGATCCCAATCTGGCCACGCACCCCCAGAGGGCCACAAGGCTCTTCTGTGAGCCCCCGGTGGGAGTTGTGGAGTCCAGGGTTGCTGGGTGTGGTGTGCTTCCCTTTCACCTCTGTCTCCCCTGACCCTAGATCTCACTGCGCGTGGCCTATCAGTGTGCAGAGCGCCGCTGGTCCCCTAATTATTCCTCCTAACCCCGTGCCTCCTCCAGAAGGAGGAGTGCTGATTTTCTTCTCCTTGAGCCACCATCACTGTCATATTTCTATTGGCTTCTTCCTTCTTCCTGACAGTCATTACCCGGTCACTTGCCCATTTGTTTGTTGTGTTTCTGTTCATCCTAACTGGCTGTCATTTTTATCTAGATGCTCTCCCTTCCAACCTCTGGAGGTCTCCAATCCAATTCATTGAAGTACTTTCATTTATTTACTTTACCTCTCCCTGTGTGTATCCTGTCTTCATTCCCTCCCTCATCCACCTGTGATCTCCTCGTCTAATGAAAAACAACTCCTTGAGCTGTGTAGTGGTGCATGCCTATAATGCCAGCAGTGGAGAGGCTGAGGCAGGAGGATCCTCAGGAGTTCAAGGACAATCTGGGCTACATAATGTGTTCAAGGCCAGCCTGAAATGCATAGTGAGACTCTGTTCCTGCCAAGTGTGATTCTGGACCTTCCCTGACCCCCACCACAGCAAACTGGGGCCTTACATTCATGAACATAGAGAAAGAAGCACTCACTATCTGCTCCATATTCCTAAGAAGCTCAAGGAAGATCCCTCTGCAAATCAACCATTTATGTATAGTATTCTCCACTTTTCCCCTAAACATTTCAACTCTCCCTCTTTGAGCCCTGCTGTCACATACTTTATTGAAAAAAACACACGCAGCCAACTCTGTTCTTCTGGCCACTCAATCTTCCTGCACCTGTGTCAGTATTTGCCTTCCCACTTCCTACAGTGTAAATACACTGCACTGTCAGAGGCCCAGCTTTCCGTGCTCTGGAGACTCTCTCTCTTTTGTTTTCTAAAGGACTTGGATCTTGTGATTGCCCCGTTTCTCATGGACTATTAACATCTCCCTTTATTACATGTACTTTATTATTCTCAAACCGTATCTTTAAAAATCTTATGAATAGTTAGACATGGTGGTAAATGCCTATAATCTAAGCACTCTGAGAAGCTGAGGCAGGATTGCAAGCCTGAGCAATTTAGCAAGATACTGTATCCAAATAAAAAATAAAAACATCTAGGGATGTAGTTCCACATGAAAACCCTTGGTTCAACCCTTGGTGCTGAAAAAATTCTTTTTTTTGTTGTTTTGGGCACTGGGGATTGAACTCATGATCTCACATTTGCCAGACAAGCGCTTCTGCCGCTGAGCTAAACCCCTGGCCTCTGAAAAAAAAAAAACAGTAAAAAAATTCTTCAGTTGATTTTAAATCCCCTTCTGGGAGTGTTCCATTTCTATGCTATTTTCACAGAAAACTTCTCAGAGGAATTATCAGCCCTTCTCTGTTATCAATTCATCACCTCTGGTTGCTGCTTAACCTACTCCAGGGCTGTCATCCGTAGCCCAGCACGGACACTACCATTATCAAGTCCCCTGGGACTCTGACGTCATTGAATTCCATGGGAACTCTTTCCTCCTTTTTTGTGAGGTTACATGCAAACTGACCTAAGCCTGCTGGGTCCTTTTGTGTTACTAGGTTGTTTTTTTAGATCTTAGCAGCTAACAATAAACCGCAGTTGTAGATCTACTCCTAAAACCCTGGATTTCTATTTTGTGATTTTTCTGTACAAGTTTAGGGTTTCCCAGAAGTGTTGCCACTTGGGATTTACGATGATCCAGGTGATAGGATTAAAAGATGATTCATTTTGATGATTTTTTTCAAGATTGAATAGGAGAGTGTGTGGACGCTTGTACTCCACTGGCTAAGTAGCCCCGGAGCCTCCAGGAGAAAAGAGCAGTTCCATCAGTTCAGGGTACTTTATCAGATGGCGTCTTCAGTAGCATCCTCAGCATTGCTGGATTTACAGCCAATGTCATTAGTCACTTGAGAAGAATAGTAAGAAACCGGGGCTGGGGATTTAGCTCAGCGGCATAAGCGCCTGCCTTGCAAGCAGGGAGTTGTGAGTTCGATCCCCGGTACTGATAAAAAGGAAAGAAGAAAAAAAAAAAAAAAAAAAAGAATAGTAAGAAACCGACTCATTATTTAGAAAATTGGTGAAGAGGAAAAACAAAAAAGAAGCAAGCAACTATCTTCTCTTCCCAGTATGTACATCAAGAAAAACAAAGCATGAATGTGCGAGTGTGTGCACGTGTGCATGTGTGTGTAAGAATGCTAGCTCATACCTGCATAAGGGATGATAGACCATCACCATTTGACAACCTTACTGGAAGGAAATAATTAACTTCTAAAGTCATTAGGTAAGAGACTGACAGTAAATTTTATATTGATAGATCAAGCAAATAATGATTTGTTTCTTTTTTTCCCCTTCCTTCCTCACAGATTCCATGCTGGGGATGGAACTCTGGGTCTTGCACATGCTGGACACACTTCCTACCACTGAACTACACCCCTTGGCCCAGGCTGACAACATTTGGATCCACTGATTAATTTCCAAAAAAGAAAGCAAACCATTACATGTCTGTTGATGTGATGCAGTGAGAACACAGCACCACACACGATGTATTCCTTCCTAAATATTTAGTCTAAACCTTATCAGGCCTCTGGACCTAAGTTTTAGTTTGCCTGAAATGCAGAGGCTTAGAGAACACATTAAGTATCACTTTGGGATACAGCTGACCAAATCCAGAAAGCAACAAATTCTGAAGAAAAAAGAGTTTGGTTTCATCAACAAATGGAGGAAAAACAAAAGGTCCCATAGATTAGAAGAAATTTGGGAGCTATAGTAACTGTATAATATATAAGAAGGATTTATATCTAGATTGGAATAAACCAACTAAAAAGAAACTTATGACAATCAGAAAATTTGAATGCTAATTGATGAAATTAAATAATTTTTGTTAAATTTTAGTTTTCAAGTTTGATAATGGTAAATATGAAAAACAAGTAAATATTAAATGTGGTATTTAAAAACCTAATTTAAAGACATGTACCCAAAACTTATGGATTAAATCATGAAATTGGAGTATGTAAGGGCTTTGGGGGGGGGGCATGGGTAACACACAGGTGAAGCTGGGTTGGTAATTTGCTCACATGTGAAATCTGGTTTGCAGATATTCAGGGGCTTTTACCTTACACTTTATGCTTTCATTGTATGCTTGAAATTTTTCCATCATAAAAAAGAAAACAAAAAAAAATCAAATAAAAATATTACAGTTCTCCTTACAGGGTCTCCTTATAGGGTCTCACTGAGTAGCTCAGGCTGGCCTAGAACTCTGGGCAATCCTCCTGCCTCAGCTCACTGTTTTCTAGGATTACAGCTGTGGGCCACCACATCCAGCAGAGTTCTCCTTTGGAGAAATCTTTCCAAAGCATAGAGTAGGTTTTGTTTTTGTCTTTTTGAGACAGGGTCTTGCTATGCAGTTCAGGCTGGCCTTTAAGTAGCCCAGGCTGGCCTCAAATTCACAACGATCCTCCCACTTCAGCCTCCTGTGTGCTGGGATTACAAGTGTGCACCACCACACCTGGTTTAGTAATATCTATAATACTTCATCTGATTTTTTTCCTTCAAGACCTCTGGGATTATTTCAAATTTACCTATGGCTCTTTCAAATTAATGTGTTGCTTCATTTTTGTTTTTGAAAGACTAGAGTTGTATCTTACCTCAGATTTTCCTGAAAACTGCAGTCAGTTAACTCAATCATGTGTGGGTTTACTGTAGAGGCTCTGTCTTCAAAGGAGACTTCCATCATGTCTGTTGGACTAGCTCGGCCAGTCTTTCTACACGATCCTGGGAGACCTCTGCATCATAGCAAGTTTCTTAAAGTAAATTTGCAATCCCAGCACTTGGGAGACTGAGATAGGAGGGAGGAATACTGCAAGTTTGAGGACAGTCTGGACTATATAGTGAGTTTAAAGCCAGCCTGAATTACATAGTGAGACTCCATCTAAAAAAAAAAACGTAATCACAAACAAAGTAAATTGGTTTCAGATTTCCTACCTTTGTGCTGCCATAGTTGTGTGGGCCAGTACTTCCTCCACACTGCAACCTGCCCATCTCAGCTTGTTTTTGCTTTATTTTCCTCTTTCCTTAATGAGATTCCTAAACTCTTTCCTTCTTTGATCCCTCCCTCCTTCCTTCCTACTTCTTTCACAGTACTGAAGATTGAAACCTGGGTCTTCACACTGAGCTAAACCCCCAAGCCCCTTTTAATTTTTAGATTTATTTATTCATTTATGCACTAATGGGGATTGAATTCAGATCCTTCACACTGAGCTACATCCCCCAGTCCTTTTTTTATTTTTTATTTTGGGTCGAGGTCTTGCTGAATCTCTAAGTTGCCCAGGCTAGACTTGAACTTGTGATCCTCCAGCCTCAGTCTCCAAAAGTGTAGGGATTACAAACATGTACTTTCACGTCCAGATGCTGCCTTCTTTTTATTCAAGTTCACTTAGTACCTGTTTCTTTTTGTGTGTGTGTGGTTTTTTGTTTGTTTGTTTTTTGGTGTATATTCTGAACAGGGTAATATCTGAATTTGGGGTGCATGTTGCTAAATGCAATTTGAAGAATCTTTTTTAAGAAAATTAATATAGGGACTGGGGATTTAGCTCAGCAGCATAAGCGCCTGCCTTGCAAGCAGGCAGTTGTGAGTTCGATCCCCGGTACCGATAAAAAAGAAAAGACAAAAAAAAAAAAAAAAAAAAAAAGAAAAGAAAATTAATATAAAATTTGATAGGAAAGTAAATATCTATTGCAAACATAATAAAAAGCTGGAAAAATGCCTTTTTTACCCTTTTTTGGTTCTCAGGCTCAATCCTAGGCCTCTAGCATGTGTGTTCTACCACTAAGTCACATGTTCAGCTCCCCAAACCTTGTTTTAAATGAACTGCCAGAAACATCTCTGCAATACCTTTTTCCTGGATTTTAAGTTGCAAAGATTTGAATCCCTCTTTATATAAGAATAATTTTGTAGCATTTTCTACATCGAGGATATACAGATATTCCAGTCTTTAGAATAGTTAAAATTCCTCTAAAAAGCTGTTATGGGTTGCTTAGAAAAGTGTCTGCTTCAAGATAATATATAAATATGGTCTCCCCTAAAAGACAAAAACAAGAAAAAAAATGATTTCCCTTTTACAAATTCTACACAGCTGTGACCATTTTTAATACTACCAAGTTTGCATAGTTATGAAATACTAACAAGTAGTATAGTATTATAGTTACCAGAATCTTAAAATACCTACCACATGGAAAAAAAAATACATACCACATGGTGTTAAATATAAGATGTACTGATGAAAGGGAAAAACTGTACAAGAGAAATTGTTCTTCTTAAAACTTTGTTCTTTTAAAATTGCCTAGCCCTGTAACTGCTTCATGGCTTTGTAATTATTTTCTTGACCCCTGTAGCCACAAGAGTATAAGCGAACATGCAGGATGCCTGATTGTACCATTGTGCCAAGCTTCATAAACTGTTGATCATCAATCTACCTTTGTAACCAATGATCTCACCCTGCTAGCTAACCTGAAGAGCTGCCAATCTGTCCTCTCTCGCCTTTGTACCCCCTTTATATCTTGTGCTTGTGCACCACCAGTGAGCAGTGCCTGATAGTCTGGGAATTATCCCAATCAGTGCCGATTGATGTAAACAAACCAGCCTCCAAATCCTGGGTGTTGTTTGGTGTTTCTGCTTGTTGTTGCACTGAAATACTGGGCTCCTACAGTTTTTACCATAATCTTTTTTTCATAATCTTTATTTTAGATTTTACTTATCAAAATAGTTAAAGGAAGCATAAATGACTACCAACAAAATACTGAATTTGTCTAGATAGTCTAGAACTTGTGTTTAAAAAAAATGATGTCATTGATAGTTGAAAATTTAATATTTTCACCAATACATCACCAAAATATTTTTAGGGTACTCCAAGTGTGACAATCATAAGTATTAGGATTATATGAGGCAGTAGGGACAGATGACTCAGAATGGAGCCAGGAAGCCCAAAATAGTCAGCTGAGTCATGCCCTTCGGGGATCTCACAAAAACATCATTCAGGGGTCCTTTGGCTGTCAGGGACTTCCTCAGAGCATGATCATGTGGGCCACTGGCTTAAGGGCACAAGGGCTCAGATGGACACTGCATGGATTGGACCCTGAGAAGTATGTAGACTCTATAGGGTAGAGATTGCATTGCTTACGTGATGACCCAAGCCACCATCTGCATCACTTAAAAATCCATAGACAAAGATTCCTTGCATGCATCCTATTCAGATCCTCCTCTTAGCTCGGGGGAGCTTTACTTCCTGGCCTTTCTACATTTTACTTTCTTGCCTTCTTCCATTCAAGATTTCATTCTTTGTTGTTATGGGATACAGCACTAGTGTTCTAGTAACACAATTCCCTTGAGTGTTAGGTCTCCATTTTCATTCCAGTTTTAGTTGTCTGGGCTGGGTTTCAACTCCTGATCTTTTTGAGTCAGCCTTCAGAGTGCTGGGATTACTGGCATGCACCACCAGGCCCAAATTTAGTGGATTTTCAAAATCTTTGAACCATGCTGGTATGAATACTGTTGAACATGTTTCCTGACCAGCTTGGAAAATTTCCAAAGAATATATTTTTAAGAGTAGATTACCGGGGGCTGGAGATTTAGCGCAGCGGCATAAGTGCCTGCTTGCAAGGTCTTGAGTTCGATCCCCTGTACCGATAAAAAGGAAAAAGACCAAAAAAAAAAAGAGTAGATTACCGCCGGGGATTTAGCGTAAGCGGCATAAGCGCCTGCCTTGCAAGCACGACGTCGTAAATTTGATTCCCGGTACAAAAAAAAAAATAAAAAGGTTAAGAGTAAATTCACCAGGCTACCAACTGTGCAAATCTTAAACATTAGCAGATATTATCAATCAATTTGTTCTATGAGACGATTGTGTGGAATGGATGAGAAGAATGGATTTTAGTTTACTGACCTACAAAGTGATGCCACCAACAAGAAAGGCATCTAAGTGAGAATCTTCTCCTTGGTGCTTTCACTGAAACAAGGAGCCTTCTGAGGTGCTACTGGGTGTCCATCTCCTACCCCCAAGGGTGAAAGTGGCAGGGATTGTGGCCCTAGCAGGCTAAGACAAGAAAAGACAAGAGATCGAGAACAAAGGCCAAGAGACCGAGAGACCCTAAATGTTCCTCTGCAAGTGTGGTTTCTCATAACAGACTACATTCTACCCAGACACTGTGAGCCTCGAAGGAGCTTTATTTGATTAGGTGGGTCTGTCTCCAGGTAGTCTGGGTTTTTTTCCTGTTCCCAATGTCAGCTCCACACCAGGATATAGAACATGCGACCAACAGTTTGCTTTGGCTGACTGCCCCGACACTTGGGTTTAATTGTTAAATATCTATATACTCACTGACGTGGTCAAAAGGAGAAATGAAGTTTTACAAGGTAAGACTAAATACGTAGTTGAGTGAATAAAATATAACTTAATTTGAATTTAAACTACCCGAGCATAATGCTACTCTTTTTTCAATCTTTGGCCTGACGCAAACTGTATATTCAAACTATAACTTTTTTTCAGAATAATAGTGTTTGATCTGTTTTGCCAATAGCCGCGAGATAATTTAACAAGCCATTTCACCATCATTTAAATTTTTCAAGAAAACTAACGGGAAACAAAGACTGTCTCACCAGGGGAGGGAAAGCCTACTGTAAACAATGAGGAAGACTGCTGCATAAAAATACAGTACTAACAGGGAGGGGCTCGAGCAGAGACAGTAGTAGATTTGTACACTAGATGGCGCTTTAGTCTTCTGAAGTCACTTTTTTGTTTGCTGTAAATGAACACGTGCTACTTTTCTCGTTTCTTAGCGGTGTACGGACTGCATCACGTTTAACGCTCAGAACATCTAACTGGGTGATCGTGATTATTCGATGAGGTTAGACATAAGTTCAGTAACTTGCTCAAGTCACAGTTTGTACGCAGGAGAAACGGTGTTTGAATAGTTTTGATTCCAGAGTCCCAGCTCTTAAACACTCTGTTGTATTGTTTTCTCAATTTTAAGGTTACACGAATCTTTTTAAAAATTTTGCTTGCGTTTGTGTTTTTTTAGAACTATTACAAAACGATATAGATTACATATACACTTTTAAAAAGCCTTTCTGGAATAAAAGCCAAACACTTCACAGGGATGAAACGTCAGGGGAAAGACTGGGCTACAAATGCGGCCCACAAATACTTAAAAATGTTTATCCTAACACAAATCACCAGCCATGCCCCAACACTGCAGAACATTTTAACCCAATCTCCTGGCATCGAGGGCGGGACTCAGCGGGTCGTGGGAGCCTGCGGCCAAGGCGCATGCTCCGAGCGCGCCGCTGGCTCCGGCTCTCCCGCAACCACGCCCACTGGGCCCGCAAGGACTGCCGGGAGGGCGCCCATCTTCTTTGAGCGCGTTAGTTAGGCCCGTGGCGCTGGAATTGGGGAGGTCTCTGTCGCTATTTGTGAACCTGTGGTGCGCGTGCGGGACCACGGCCTTAGAGGTGAGCCTGTCGGTGGTTAATAAAAGGGCACAGAGATCCTGCTTCGCGTGGGGGCGCGGCGGCGCGTTTTCGGGTCGGTGCAGGCGCGGGCGCGTTCCCCCGGCCCCTGGTCTGGCCGGCGCCGCGTGGGCCGCATCGGAGGCGGCCTGCAAGGCTGGAGCGGTCCGCGGAGGACTGACGGGGCTCTAGGGGTGCCCCACGTGCCGGGGCCCAAGAGAGCGAGCGCAGCTGCAGGACGCGGTTTTAGTATGGTCTTTGCCCTTACTGTCACGGCAGCCTGTCGGTTTCTGAGCTCCACTGCTTTCCGGAGCAGGTATTTTGGGCCACCTCCGAGTTCCTCGGGGCATAAGGCATGAGGTGGACGTGGAGGAGTCCGTGGGGACCCCCAGGAGGCGGGGCCGCAGGAGGACTTCCTGCATCACTCTGAGGCTTTTTGGGTCCGTCACCCCCATCGGGCTGGTTCTCTATGAACCTGGAGAGCATGGGTGATATCTCACTTCTAGTTGTACACTCTGGGAAAATATGTGATGGAGCAAAATTTTAAAAGTGATAGGGCTAAGGAGTCTTCTAGGAATTAACTAGTCCTTTTATCTAGTTGGCTTATAAGGGGTCCTCTGTCGCGGAAGTAATTTAGGGTTACAGATAACATGGTAGACAAACCGGTGTGTGAGATTGAACCCAGGTGAATCCCCGTTGCAAGAACTTCAGTGGGCGTTCAGGTTGTTGAGCAGCAATTGCAGTGTCAGGCGATGCCTCCGAGAAGTGTACTAATGGCAGCTTATTCTTGATGAGTTCCTCTTGATACACATCGTACAGTACAGATGACCAGAGGGTCTAATAGATCACGGGAAGCAACTAATTTAAATCCGAAAACTTCGTTTGTGATTTCTAGCAAACTAACATCGCAGCCTGCTTTGTTTCCCCTGTAGCGGAACCTGGCTATAATCTAACCAATGTGTTAATGAATTAGGCACACTTTCCCCAGTTTAAATGGTTTTAGTGTTTCCATACTTTCACATTTTCATTTTCTTGTGTTTCTGAACATACAGCGTCTAATCTAACCCCATAAACTTTAATGTTGAAATTTTTTAAAATTTTAGAGTTACGACTTGTAACGTGGCCCATACCAAGTTTTTTGTAAGGCAGCTGTGACTAATTTTTTTTAAAACAATACCATCCACACCAAATAACACCGGGAGCTATAGTTATATGCTGACATACATATTGTATATATCAATCTGTTGAGAAGTTTCCCTAAAGCTTGCTGGGGCAGCTAAATGAAGAGTTCTTTTGTTGCAAAAGGAGACAGTCGTTTATTGAAAGAGAAGGCAGATTGTTCACTGTTCCTCACTTTTGCATTACTAAAGAGTATTGCTTTGTTGAGAAGTGAGTGCAGAAACTGAACCTTTGGTATTAGAATTTCCTGACTTTCATGAGGATAAAAAAAGGCATATTAATAATTTTAAAGAATTTTTTTTTCTAGTTGGTCTTGAATTTTATGTGAAACAGTAATAACGTTTTCCTGCCAATTTGGGAAAATTTACAGATTAGCCACAATGGCCGAAAATGGTGATAATGAAAAAATGGCTGCCCTGGAGGCCAAAATCTGTCATCAAATTGAGGTATGATTCTTGTGCTATTAAACTGTGAAAACAAGTTTTTTGAAATTTAGGGGCCTCAAAACAAGTAACAAAGAGCGTTCAATTTCAGTATGTAGACTTGTTAAACATTTGGTTTATCTTCTTAGAAGAGGTATAAATATTTAATTTCTTAGTCCAAAAAATGATACTAGTAGTACCTTTCTCATAACATGGTTTGGAGAAATAAATTAGTTAATAGGATGTAAAACACTTAGAAGAATGTTTGGCACATAATAGATTAATCTAAAAATCCATGATAAGTACTTTCCCCAGTAAATACCTTTGAAGATCCTAGTAGTTTATTCATCCCAGTTCTTGGCTATTTTAGAAACTCTCTTAGCATTTTTTTTTTTAATGTAGGTATTATGTTTAGGGTGAAGTTTTACAGTGTTAGTGACGATTATGTTGGCAAACTATCCCTAAAATGACGTTCTTAGTGAGGAACACTTTTTTTTCAGATCTCTGAACTTACACATCTTTGCCATTTAATTTCCAATCTTGTTTTGTATTTGTTTCTTTATAATTGTGGAGAAAATTGACATATTATTTATTCTTTGATAATCTGAGGACAATATAAAGACTATATAGAAAAGGTTAATAAGACCCCATCACAACC